CACACACACACACACACATACACACACTACTACCACAGTGACAATAACAGCCTCAGCATGGCTGCTTTCTACTGAATCTGTTTTAGCTTTTATAGTTTGGATTTTATTGTTCTGCATGGAGCTGAAGATAAACACGGTCTCATTTCCTTTCTTATGGAAATACACAAAGAAATGAGAATAAATTACATTTTTATTCTTCCTTTTTTTCTTCCCCTGAAGCCAGTATCTAACTGAGCAGTCCTAAGGAGTCTTAGACAGTTGTAGCTCAGTCATATACCACCTTAACATGATAGGATCATATACCACCTTAACATTTCTAGTTTCCCTGAAAGACTCCAACATGCCTTTAGAAATGTTTTGATGCATTTTGTTCTACAGTAGATCTATCCTTTCAGTTTGTTTCCTGCTCATTAGGGAGCTGGTGTTGGACATGTGGTGAGGTTACACCTGTCCAAGGTTACACCTGGATAGGTTACTACCAGTCCATCCCAGGACCACAGAGAGACAAACAACCAATCCCAATCATTTAGTGACACTTTAGAGTCTTCATTTCACCCAACAGGRTAATATGAGTCTACACTGGTGCTGGTGGGAACATAACAGTCAGAACAAACACATGATCACTTGGAGAAGGAATGGGTTTTCAGTTTGATTTCTGAAGAACAGCTGGGGGTGTCACTGACTCCTGATCCTGGTCCTTCTACCCCCACAGACCGTCGAACGGTGGCCAGGACTGCCCCGGACTGAACTACGAGTATCAGCTGTGCAACAAAAACGACTGCCCCCAGCACTTTGAAGACTTTCGAGCCCAACAGTGCCAGCATCGAAACGCTCACTTTGAATTCCAAAACAGCAAACACCACTGGCTGCCATATGAACATCCTGACGGTAAGCCAGGAGTCTGCTTCCTGTGGGGTGACCAGCTCAGGGCTTCACACTGACATTAAGAACAAAAAGCTGAAACATGAATGAGCGTAGAGTCCACCACAGCTGTGCTGTTTGTTTAACTCCCAACCACCCAGCTTCCAACCAATGACTGAATTATCTGCCTTATTAATCCTTAAAGAAGCTGCATCAAAATGAGTTGCTCTCAGATGCACCTCAGAACAGAAGCAGATTTTCTGTTTAAGTGTTCTGGATTCACAGTTCTCTGGACTTTCTGAAGATCTTTCAGAGATTTTCACGGGAATGTTTTGACCCCTGACCTTTGACCTCATTCAGACAGACCTAATGCTCCAAAGGGGTGTGAARATAGAACAGACAGCTGAACTAAGCTGAAATCTGATCTGTGGGTCACACAGACGCAGCTTGTTCTGGTTTTGCTGCTGCATCCAGAAAACCACCAAAGAGCCAGAGTTTGATAGAAAAAAGGATTTGGCCAACAGAGTCAGGGCTCTGGAATTGTTTTTACAGTAAGTGAATGATTTGTTCTCACAGCTAATAAAAGATGCCACTTGTACTGCAAGTCAAAGGAAACAGGAGACTCAGCATACATGAAGCAACTGGTGCATGATGGGACTCGATGCTCCTACAAGGATGCCTACAGTATCTGTGTGCGTGGAGAATGTGTGGTGAGGATGCTTTTAAACTCCAGTCTTATCCTGAGGCACACCTGCACACTGTAACAGTGAGCTGCTCCTCATCAGCCTGGCTGTTTTTGTCTCCAGAAGGTCGGCTGTGATCGAGAGATCGGTTCCAGCAAAGTGGAGGACAAATGTGGAGTTTGTGGAGGAGACAACTCCCACTGCCGTACGGTGAAAGGAAGCTTCACTCGGACACCAAAGAAACCTGGTAAGAACACATGAAGCAAAACAAGTCCTGCAACACAAGCTTTCCTCTAGATCAGGGCTGCCCAGACCTCTTTKAACCAAGGCTGCCACTTCGCCAAGATCGATTTGTTTAGTCAAGATAACAAACTCTTTATCTTCCTACTCACAACTGAATGTGCAAACATGTTCATTAAAACTAATAGTAATAAAATAAATAGGAAATTGACTTTATATTTGTTCACATCATGTTAAATAACATCTTTATTAAAAATTGTAAGTGCATAAATACATACTGCACAATAGAGCTCTACACTTTTTGTCCCTCCCTTATTCTGCTGATTTGCAATGAATGGAATGAACCAGGGATGACTAGTAGCTGCTGATAGTCATGGAGGAGCGGGATTTGGAAAAGGCTGACTCACATTAATAAGTAGAACCAAACACTGCAGTCAAGGAGGAAGCACGCTTCCTCATGTTGGGGTCTTCTGTGAGTAAGTTCCAGGGGTCTCATTTATAAAGGATTGCGTGGAAACCATACTAAAAGTGAACGTACGGCCAAAAGG